CGGTTAACTTAGCTTGTAAATATTACTCTGAGAGTTTTATCTACCTTGTGGACAAACATGCTGCTTTTTGCCAGGTCAGAGTGAAAGGGCGGGACAGGAAGCAGCCCTGAGCAGCTTCGAGAAAGTCCGACTCTGATGCCAGTGGCTAAGGTTTGGCAGCTGCGTAATAGCTTCGCTGCTTCGATTAGGAAATCCAAATGTGATTACTTTCTGATCTTAACCACTGACAGTCTCAAAGTCCCTGGGACGCTTTGGCAGACTATAAATTCTCTCTCTGACAGCTTTGAAGAGCATTAACATTAAAAAGTCACCGGTCCAGACAATCTGTCTCCGTCCTTCTTGTGTCTGCTTGCAAACATCATAGATGAGCCAGCGTCTTATATTTTTAATCTTTCCATACATCTGAACACGTCACCAGAGATCCCAGTGTGCCTTTGTGATGCCCTCCTGAAAGGTGATGATTCTTGGATGGTAATAATATGAACCAATCTGCAAACTCTGTATTTTAGCTGAGATTCTTTAATGGCTGAGGAATAATCAACCTTAGAGCTATCAGAATGAAAATGATATGTTATCTCTCCAGTACTGTAACTTAAAAGTTTAAAATGTAAAGTTCTCAATGATACCTACGAGGCCCTGGAAGCAAAGAAATACTGCACCCCTCTTTTTATTGATCGAAAGCCTCCGGCACTGTTGATCGTGGGGTTTTATGTCAGAGGTTATTGGAAAAGGGCCGATCAGACCAAGCTAAGCACCTTTCTCACCATAAGCAGTGTGTGCAGTTTAATGGTCTCTCTTCCAGTTTTTTAAATGTGACTGATGGAGTGCTACAGGCTTCTGTCTTGGGACCTGCGTTATTTACTATTTATGTCAGTGCTGTGGGACGAAATCTAAGTGCAACTGCCTATTTTTACGCAGATAATTAATTATGGTAATAATCTGGTATCGACGTGGTTTTTGAACATTTGCAGTTAGCTTTTGATCGTACACAGTCAGCTGTTTCTGCTAAGGCTGTCTTTGAAATGCATTTATAAAAACAAACACGGTTGTGTTCTCAGAGGGTTCGTTAACCCTAATCCTAACTTCCCTCTCTTGTATCTTCTCAAGGTAT